ATAGCATTGTTTATCTTGTGATTAATTAGCTACCCTACGCAATTCGAATAAAGTGGCTGTTGGAAAATCACATGCAATGAATAAATATTTTTTTAATAGTCAGGTATTAATTTCGTGAAATCGGTTATGGCCCAAAATTCCATCGTACCAAAAATATAAATTTTTATAAGGTATCAAAAATAAAATATCAGTATTTATATATTTATTAAAATATGGTAATCGAAATTTAAGAATCTTATTTTTTAAAAATAAGATAATAATAATAAAATTGGGAATAAATATTATACGATTCTATTTTATTTTACTGAAAATTTTGTAATAAAAATTTTAATGTATTGTAATTATATAAAATATTGCACTTATTCTCTTTTTTTTTTAACTAAAAATTTAGACTACTATTTTAAGGAGAGTATAATAATAATAAAATTAAGAATATTGTATATGAAATTTAAGACGTTACAATAACCAACTCTAGTTACATGTTTGGTGGCTAAATAAACATATGTGATTTGTTGGAATTTGGAATAGACCATGAGACACCTTGTCCCATCGATGAAAGTGACGTTCAACCTACTTGTCCCAAGCAAATGGACAACCTTTTCTTTGAACCATGTATCCATTAAAGTGCTCATGAGTCATTCAAGTCCAATAAGTTCATATCTCCTTTTCTAGTTATACTCCTCTAAAATAATAATTACAAGGAAATAAATGTCTATATTACTTGACCAAAAAATACAAGGTCAAAATTAAGAAAAATATTTTTAAGAAAAAATATTCACAAAAAAAGAAAAAGTAAGCTATTAAAAGTGATTTAAAGCATAATAAAAGTTTGGACCTTCTTCTTTCATATCTAACTCACTCCTCTTGACTCCTTTCATGGTGTAATAATTATCTATGTATTATTTGCCAATATTATGTAACAAATACTAATAATATTTATTTTACAAGATTTAAAAGCTAAAATTTTATATAAACTATTCAAATTTCTCATTATTACACCAATCACAATTAATTAATAAGGTGTATTGTTATCCTTACGATATGGGAAAATAGATTAAAAAAATAGAAAAAGAATAAATAAACAATATACTAATAATGTAAAGTAATTTTACATCATCCACCAAATCACAAATCATCATTTGTGATTAGTTGTTAACTTTTATAGTTAATGAATAAAAAGTCATACTAACATTGAATTTATTATTGATCGTGTAAAACTATTTTACGTACATGATCATTAACCTAAAAAATAATATTTTACACTGATAATGGTTGTTATGTCTGAAGTATTTACTCTTCCTTTTCCTTCTTTTCGTTTCTTTAGAAGAGTTATGCTGCCTCAATTTGTCTTTGGCACTGGCTTTATCCGATTTGCCCTTGAGTACAAGAAAACTCCAACAAGTGCAACACCAGTTCCTGTATTCACAAAACACCACAAGAAAAAGAAGAAATTAAGTTCTAGCAATTTTAATACACATATGTTTGAGACGGCAAAGTTCATACACAAATGTTAACAACACTTTTTATACAATTTTTTAAAAATACATTTTTATTAGTTAAATTTATTGAAAATTAAAATTAAAAAAAAAAATGGATTCCACATCCTATTTAACAAACCATTCTCTTACTACTTTGCTCTTCTTCAATTCCATAATAAGTGTTGTATAAAAGAAATAAAGAGTCTCAAAAACAAGCATCATATTAACTTTTCAATATAACATTAATTATTATTTTTTATTTACATCCCTAATATTATTTTTTAAAAAAATATTAATGTTGTGATGTATTATTTCTTAAAAAAAGTTAATAATTAGGATAATTTTATAAAACTCGAATTCTCTTTTATTTTTTTTTTATTTTTTTTATCTGTATAAGAAAATACAGGATGATACTTACTATAAAATAAATGAAGTGGTTTTTAATAAATTAAACTAATTAAAAAATGTAATATTAAGAATATATTTAAAAGTGTATAGCTAACACTAAAACTTAACATGAGAGAGTTACCAAGTGTGTTAATGGGTGAGACAGGAGTTTGGAAGAAGATAACTGAAGAAACAATGACAACCACACGCTTCACACAGTTTCCAACCGAGTGGGACACAGGGGACACCATTTGTAATATCATGTAAGAGACCTGCCACCAATTGCATTTACTTACAATGTTTCACACAACATATCTCACACCAGTCACAGACCATTTTGCAAAGGAAATTGCACAAAGGACTAATTAAGAGAAGAAAGCTAGAATATGGTTTAATCAGAATTTTAATAAAATGCTAAACCAAGAAAGTAAAATTGGAAATCAAAGGGTCACAATCTCTAGCAAAATACTGCTCAAAATTGTATACATAGGATACAAAAGTCATTCATGATGATCTTCTATCTATAGAAAACTCATTCATTATTCATATGACCTCAAAAATCATTATCCAAAATATTTAATGGTGACTTGTCATCTAACCACATTTTATTATAAATAATAAGTTGATTGATTTGTATAATAATTATCTTAAAAAATTATAAAACATAATTTTTATTGATTAATTGTGTAAAACTTTACACCGTCAGTATATAAGTGATTAAACACATCACAAATGATAGTTAATAAATGGATAACAATATAAAATTATTTTCCACCAGCTAGATAATTTTCTTCCCTCTTTTAAGTATTAGAGTAAAACTATTTATTGCCTTGTAGATCATAATTTAACATCATGACAATCTTCTAAGTGGAAAATCCCATTATTCACATAACATTTGAAAATTGAAAGGTCTGACCTGCTGATATGCATGGAAGCAGAAAGCAGCCAAAACTGATTTGACACACAGCTCTCTAACATTCAGCCCTTGGCTTGCCTATATAGCAAAAAAAAAAAAAGCATACTAAATGTTAGGCAGATTTTTCTCTTCCTCAATTACTTAAGAAGGAAAAATAGTGGCAAAGGACATATAATTTTAAACATAAAACTGTATACATACAGCAGATTGCAGGTAAGAAGGAGTAAACTTGACACCCTCCACAAGTATAGTGCATGGGACCAACAAGATAAAGGAAATGATGGTTATAACTGAGTAGAGATTGATATTGTCCAAAACTTCCTGTCAAGAACATGCTTCAAATGGTGACTCTTATTTTTAACAGAATATTCTAAGAGTTTCAATAAGTAAAGTAATAATTAGTATAAAATAAAAATAAAAATTAAGCAACTCCATGAATCTAGTTAAAAAAATTGTAGAAAATCAAGAACTTGATTATAATTTTTAATAAAGAGAACTAATAAAAGATTTTAAAAAAACTCAAGAACATAATGATATATTAAACTATTACTTAATTCATATTTTATTTCTGATGATTCCTTTATTCTCGTGATATCAACCACAAGCTTTCAACATAGTGACTGAGCATTCTCATATGAAACAATTTTCTATAAATTGAAGTCTTCCATTAATTGGCATGAAGAATAGTTTAGTGTTTAGGGAATGAAGTTCATCTTCCTAAATGAGATTAAAAATTAAACGAGGTTAACTCACATTCTTAACTAATGTGAAAGTAGTTACTTTTTTCTTATATCTGAGCCTGAAAGGGGTATATAATTTGTTTAGGTAAATTTTCTCATAAGTACCTTCAAAAGAGAAAAAAAAAATGAAATAAATTTTTCTATAAGTTAAATTAGTTTGTAAATAAGTTAATTTATAGAAACTTTATCATGTTAGTAAATTTTTGCTTTTAATTATGCGTAAATTAATTTTTAACTTATAAAAAAAATTATTTTAATTTTTTTTATAAATACTTTTAAAAAAAAATTATCCAAACAGATATATGAGTGTGCACACACCTACTTGCAAGTTGCAACAACTTCATTTTGTAACTATGTCATAACAACATGAAGATATGGGGAAGTTATTTACCTCTTCATTAGTCATCAGTTTTTTGCTCAAAACATTCCGTGATTGATTGGTAAGGTTAGATGCCATAGCAGTAGTGAATCCAATCCTGTTTTGAGAAAGAAAATATGAAACTATTGAATCAATAGTACCCCTCCAATAATATTGGAAATTATTGTATGATCAGTATCAAAATTATTCAATATTGTCCTTGAAGTACTTTGTGCTTGCAGCAGTTTAGTTTGATCAATTACCAATTGAAAGAGACTTCAGTCATTGATGCCAGTGTCACTCCCCCCACTATTGGTATAAGGGAAGAAACTACCCAGAAAGTAGGCCTCTGTTCATTTAAGGATCAAAAATAAAGGTGATCAGAACACCAAAACAATTAGATTATTCTGCATTTTCATATGAATGGGTAGCATAAGGTCTATTAGCTTTCAAAATAATTGAACATTTAATTAAAGTAAAAGCAATTTTGAATAACTTCTCCTAAAATCAATTGCTTCTTTATAATAAAGTGATTTTATTGTAAACAAATATAATTAAATTAATTTCTAGTTTTTATTTTAAATCTTTGAAATAATCACTAAATTATTTTATATCAGAATTCTTTTTAATGTGTAACAAACTAACCTTGTTTTGCATTAGTGATGAAAAATGTAATTATATAATTTATATTTCATTCATGACAAGCACATTCTATATAATTGACACAGTCAAATTAAACAATAAGGAAAGAAGTACTGTTTATATACATGAATAATTCAAAATAGGTAAATTAAGTAGCACAGGGTTTAAGTCCACCAAACATTCTAGGCAAAAGTAGGTTTGAAGCAACCTCCTAGTCCTACTTCTGATGTTGTCTTGAAACTATTGATGAGTGATGACACTATCTAATTCTAACAATTGTGTTCTCACCATAATCATAATTCTATGTCGATAATTGCTTATAAAGAATTATGGAGCCTCAGTATTCTTATGTCAAAATATTTATCATGGACATTGATCAATTTAAAGGTCTTACAAATGACATTTATGATTCAAGACATGTAAGTTCCATATGCCCTGTAATTTCATTTCTCTTGGTATGTTGCAACTTGCAAGACATGTAGGTAGGGTAGAAAAACAATTCATTTATTCATTATTCATCTTAGTCATTCACAAATAAATGCATTTAATTTATCTATTACAAAAGTATAATAATAAAGGATTGAATTAAATCCATCTAATTTTATTAGGTGGTTAATGATTCATCTACTATTTTTTTTTTTAAATCTATTAGATTATAATAAAAAGAGTATGTTGAAATAAAATTTTAAAATATTATTTTAACATATAAAAGCCTTGTGCATTTTAAAGAACTATATAAAACTATACAACCTATAATATTTTTTAAAAAAACTTTTATAATCAAAATTTTGTAGTTTAAATTTTAATATTTTATATCATAAAAATTTTAAATTTTGAAAAGGATTTATACATTTGTAAGATTTGAAAGGACTCCATATGCTTTTGGTAAACATTAAAAGTTACAATTGAATGAAAATGATCTTCTGATAAAGAAAAATAAATGAATACGATATCTCATTTTCATTGGAGGATGAACAACCACCACATAGGAACATGTTGAATTTGCAGCAAACATAAATTATGTGGGCAACATAATGAGAAAACATTATTAAAATTAAGATATTTATAACTTCCAAAACATTCATATGATGTATGGACTATTTGAATATTGGTCTGTTTAAATGTATATTTACGAAATTTTTTGTAGTGATTATAAATATATAGGACAATTTAATTATTTTTAAGTTGGTATTTAACATAATTTGATAGTGGAAATTTTACTCTCTTAATTAGATATTGTCAATTTTTTTTTTCTCTCTTTTGAATTACACATGTTGATTGTGTGTATAGCCCATAAAAAAAATGCGCGAGTGACAGAAAAATAGAAAGAAGAAAAAGAAAATATTTTACAAAAATTAATTCTTGAAAAATATTATTTTTATAGATAGATCAGATATTCATCCATAAAAAATTAGTAATATATAGATTGAATAGTTTTTTTTGGTTAAATGAACTAGATGGATTGAATTTTTTAAATAAATTTTTGGTGAATCTAAATGAATTAATGTATTATTAATGAATTTATGATACCCTCTTTCATTTTACTTTTTTTATAATAAATACATATCGGTTGTAATCATAAATTAATTAAAAGTTATATGAGATATAAAAACATAATTGACAAAACAATAATTAATATAATCTTAAATTTTGAAAATGACATAAAAATAAAAATAAAAATAAAATTTTAATTTAAAAAGAAAACCCACAATTAAACAGAAATAGTATTAATTACCGGTTTATCGATTTTTTTTCTACGTTCAATAAATAATAGGAGTGGTACATTAACATCTCAGACTAAAAGTCAAACTTAACCCTATAGATAGTTTTTGAAAACTTTATTTCGTCTGTTCATATATTCATTACTAATAAAAATCAAGACAAGAAAAATATCAATGATGTGAGAGATCATTCATAGCCGATAAATATCAAGAAAATAAATATATAAATAATGAGAGAGATTAAAAGAATTAAATACTATTTAAAATAATAAAAAGAAGAAGAATATGTCTCATTATGATAAAGATAATTTGGGAAGAATATATAAATTTAAGACAAATTTAATATTTTTAACTAAATTTAATGTTACTAACTAAATTAAGTACTACTAACTAAATTAAGTATTCATCTCCTCCAATCTTAATAAGATATAGAAAGAGTCTGCCTTGTTAGTTTCTAGCATTTATTATTTTTTAAGAAATTTTTAATTAAAAATAGTATAAAAAAAATAGTTAATGCAAAAGACAATTAAGAAATGATATTATAAAAAAATAATAAAGTAAAAAAAAAGTCTCGTATAAAACTGGAGATAATAAAAAAAGACCTACATAAATAAACTTGAAATTTTATAAAATAAAATACGACAAAAATATATAAAAGATAAAAAAAATACATAATTTTGGGAATATATAAAATAAATTGAGTAAATAAATTATTGCGAAAACATTTAATAAAATAAATTAACAAAAATGGGTAAAGATGATTGGGCCTGAATTGAATAAGAAGACAAAATTGAATAACTGGAAGAAAAGAAGAGAAGGCGTGTGTTTGCTTTTAAATTTCCCTGAAATTGTTTCACATTTCAAGACAAGATCAAATGGTCACCATTAAAAGTGGCACCAATCTCAATCACTTCCTTTGCCATTGGATTAAAATTCATTTTGATGGAATTGATTTTTTAACAAATTCGTGTGTAAATTAATCTAAATAACCTATTCATATTGGAATTGTGAGAATCCCTAATCTTCAAAGAAATAACTATCATTTTTAGGAGAAGCTATTAGTTCATACACCATCACCATGCATCAATCATTTCAACTAATATTTATGTGAGATGTAAATTTTCAATTTATAAAAGTTAATCATATATCATATATAAACTTATTAAAATCACAATTTCTTCATTTTCAGGGTAAATGCCTAACACTTATTATACATTTGCTGTATAAATGCATGAAATTTGCTAACTACGAACATATTAAAATATATATAAAATGAAGAATAATTCTTTTAAAAGTAAGTAAAAAGTGAAGAGTTGAACATTACCTGACCCAGGAAAAGAGTGGAAAGAACAACAGTGAAGAAAGGCTCCATAGCTTTGATTGTGTGAGTGAAAGATACAGCAACCTTTCCAAGACTAATGTTGGTCAAGAGATTCCCAATTGTGTGAGCCACAGCCAGAGGAAGAATTGCTGCAAGCTGTGAATCAATGCAAACAAACATAAATGAATCATTTGGAAATCAGAAGTGTGATAGCCCCACCAAATTCATGGACAGAACCACCCCTTTTTCAACATACCTGTGAGCCACTTATGTTTGGTCTCCTATGGAGATTCAAGCTCCAAATCAAATTAATCATCAATGTTGCAAACCCAAATTGAAATGCTGTAACTGTTGCTGGAAATGGATAGACTTTTAGAACCTAATAGACAATGAGTGCAATGCAATTGAGAACAACCAAAAGAGAGTTTAAACAAAAAATATATATAACAAGGACACCCCACATTTCTTAATGCAAGCCTGTATGATAAACTTTCTTAGAATTACACTTCAATAATCTCTTTATTCTTTTGGTGTTTTTAATATTCTTATTCCATCAAAATTAGAGTTTTATCTCAATAATTTATATATTTATCTGTGGTGCAAATCTCCTATAGGTAGATTATCAAAATGAAATTATAATTTTTTATTTTTTTATTTTATTTAATAAGAAGGTTTATATTTTAATCTCCTTCACAACAAATCCATCTCCATCCAATTCTGACTCCATGTAAGCTTAAAATATAAATATATCTCCTATATTAGTAATTCTATTACTAAAATTAAGGAACATAAATCTCAAACCAGTTAAACTAAGAAGTTTGTCATAAAACTTTGATTCTAATTATACTAATTAAGAACACTACTTAAAAAACCTTAAAATTAGTTAATGTCTCTTTTCTTCCCTAGATCCAAATAATTGCAAAGGTGGAATCTTTAGACTCCAAATGCGGATGAAGAATGAAAAACCTGTTTGTTGTAGATGTTGAAGTAGATATTCAAGAGGTACCAAGTTGCAAACATGGCCCCAAGCTGTAGAGTCTTGAGCAAACCACTAGTTTTGGTTGGTTCATCACTTCTGGCTTCAGGAAGAGAGGCAGCAAGGACTCTGAAAGATGCAAATTTTGGGGTGGAAAGGAGAAAAGGTGAAGACTTTGTGGCAGTGAGGAGCAAAGAAGAAGAGGGTCCATTGATGGTGTGGGAATGAGGAGAGAATTGAAAAGGGAAATTCTTGGGTTTGGATGTGTGGTTTGGAACATGATGTGGAGAGTGTGACAAAAAAGAAAGGGTGTGCATTTTGGGGTTGTGATGAGAGGCTAACAAAGAGAGAGAATAAGGAGACATAGCCGTTGTTGCATGGAGTGAACGAACAGAGATTCAGACAATGCACGAATTAATGCTGTTTCTGAATTTGTGTCTGAGGAAGTATCGACCAAACATTTGATACAGCTGATTGATATATATACGATTACTTTACATGATTCAAATATCCTCTTCTTTATTATCCAATAATATTCTATTAACTATTATCTATCGCATCATCATTTTTTTATTCATAACAATTGAAATAATATAATAAAAATTACAATAATATAATAAGATTATGTATAATTTATTTCAACCCTCTTCCTCTCTCATACCACTACCACTGACTAGTTTAGGGATAATTTAAGGTTAAGCCACATGCATTAAAAAATATTTAATATATACAAATTTTGTTAAAAAAATCTTATTTAATAAGAGTAATTGTTGGATAGAATGTTATTTCCTTTGGACCTATAAATAAGTAAATAAAATCAATTTCACACAAAGTTTATTAATATATTTACTTTTCACAATTTTACATAAAATATATATCATATTTCTTAAAATATCTTTAATCATATTCGTAGTAGATAATATTCTCATTTATTATTATAGGAGTAATTTTAGATTAAGAATATTAAATAAAATTAACTTCAATGAAAATTGTTTATGCTTATTATATTTTAGTTCAAAAAAATTAATATTTTTTATACTTATATATAAACTCAAAGGGAGTATTAAGTAAGGGTATAAATTAGAGGAAAAGAATTTATAATTTGTTATTCAGATTCTAAAACAATATTGTTTTGAGAAGGAAAAAAAAAAGCTAAAATCACTAAAGAAATGAGAAGGAGAGAGTATAAATTTAAAGGACCTTTAGTGATTTTTTACTTTTTTAATATTTATTTTATTATTTTATCCAAATGTTGTGTCTTTCTTCTTGAATTTCTACAATATACAAACTTTCTTTTTATTTGTTATTGTTCGCAAAATATATTTTAATGTAAAGAAATTTTAAATAAAAAATGCCGAAAGACATAAATATTAATATTAACATTATTTTATAATAAACATATGAATAAACAGCTTTTTTTAAAAATAATGTTATCCTAATTTTTATATACATCACATGGTTTTGGTGCATAAATATATAGTTATTTCAGCTTCTTAACGTCACCGAAAATGAAAGTGAAATGTGAAAAACCACACGTCTAAATATTGATAAATAATTTCTCGTATTGATTTTGATGCTGATACGATATACTGATACGCGTGTTTGGTTTCGAAATATCTTGCGGGGGAAAGACGCCAGAAAATAGTTGTGGATGTGAGTTAACAAATTTCCACACTCTAATAACGTATTATATACATTTACAATAATCTATGATATTTGTTAATTTTTTAATATAAATTTAGGGGTCACTGAGTTAAATTTTGCAATATATATATACTATTGTAGCAATAAAAGCGTGCTTAGATGAGGAAAAAGAGAAGATTAAATTGTTTCATGAATATTTATATTAAGATTATCTATTCCCTACCTAGTTATTGATAAATTACTTTATAACTCTACCCAAAATAAATAAATAAGTTACTTTGTAATCCAACAAATAATCTGACTTTACAAGATTTTTGGGTATAGAGCACGCACGTTAATATAGAGATTTGAAAACTATTAAGAGGCTTAAATTAATTACATTCTTCTCTATATTATTTTAAAATATGTATCTTGTTTTCTTGAAAGATGGATGAGTTACATTTTGATATTTTTCAATATAAATGATTTTTTTAACATTGATAAAGAATTATGAAAGTATTTTCTAGTGATATTTTTGTGTTTTTTACACATGTTGCAAGTAATTAGCTTCAATATTTTATCAGGTAAACTTACGTTTTTTATTTTTTTAATAAGTTTAATTAAAATTTTCAACAATAATCTTTATTTGATCTTCTAAAGTTATAAAAGTGATAATGGTATATTTTGAAACAATCCGACAAATTATTATACTTAATATAATATAATTATTACGTAACATAATTATAAATTATCTATTTATACTAGGGTTATCAACAGTCACATGTACATTCATGTGAGAGATATAAGTATAGGGTATTCATGCAAGAGATATGAGTATAAGGTATGAGAAAATTGAATCATAAACACCTTAAAGGGTTTCATACATACCCTTAACATATACACAATATACATAAACTACATTATTATGCACAAAATAACTAATTGTTGATCAAACATTTATACAATAACCTTGCTACATCAGAGTCGTATCACCAAAACTAGGTCATCACCAACATGACCCTCCACCAACTGAACAAGCTATCCTACTATTCATGTCACAATCACATACCAAGTATGATCATTGTAGTTCCAATCACAAGAAAAAGAAAGGGTGTAAGTTTGTGAAAGATTCAACATAGCAAGAATATACATGTACAACTTATACTACACCAACAACTTAAACAACATCCAACTAGTTCATACTACAACAACAACATATCGTCAATAATCACAATTTTCAATCTTCATTACAACTAACAACATGAACAACATTTTCAACATACACAACATCAATAACTTTAAATCAATTAATGTATTGTCACACTATCAACTTATGGGGATCTCTTACAATAAAGATGAGCAATCCAAGTAGATCGATCTTATCAAACCACAATGTCTGACCTATCACAACCAGGTCAAGTATAGATAGTGTTAAGCCTCTTAGAGTGCCAAGTATACAACTTAAATTGATTTCTCAAGTTTCATCACTTAAATTAGGAAAATCTAGTACCAATGTCAGGGTAGAACAACTTAGGTGTGAACATACCACTTAGCATGCAAATATAAGCCTTATATTGGGATTAATTTGTAGACACCCTCCAAATACTACGCTCCTTCCCAGTAATCAGTTAAGGATTTTACCCTTTCACTTCATATTGTACTCAGTTTGTCACTTTGTACACGTATGACTCGACCTGGCCCTCATATATCCACATAATCATATTTTTCAATTTTTAAAACAATTTTACTCTACTCTAGTTTTTATGTATCTCAACTAAGACATGTATCTTCACCACATGCCTAACAACTCAACAACTTGATCAACTAAAAGCATCATACAACTTTACAATTTCATCAACTATTGATTTTCAACTCAAACAACTTCATACATCACTATACATTATCCTATATCAATACATATTGAACTACTTTCATACAACATCAATTATATCATTCAATCATCATTCTTCAATCTTTAAATAACTTAAAACATTAAGTCTTCATTCAACAATCACATCTGACGTCACTCTTCTCACGCCTAACATCAATTGAGGTAGAGAGCTTTCTGCCTCATATACACCTAACACCAATCCACCTATGTCCGACATGGATGAGGCAAAGAGTCTTTGAGTCTCTCATGCCTAGCATGGAAAATCCCACGTCCGGCCTCGTTTAGGCAAAAAGTCTCTGCCTGACTCACGCTCAGCGTCATAACATTAGTGTCTGGTGTCATCTAGATAGAGAGCCATTAAACTAATTACGTTTGGTGCCACACGCCTCTAGGATCCGGCATCACCAAGTCAAAGAGTTTCCCAAATTCTCATGTTTGGTGTCACTCAATCCATGCTCAGCATGACTAAGTCAAAGAGCCCTCCACTATCTCATGCCCAATGCTACAATTCCACACCTAGCATGATCAAAGCAGTGAGCCCTTAACTTAAGTCACACTCGATGCAATAAGTATTTTTGCCCTTAGCAAAATCTCATTTTGGCTCACCACCTACAATCTAACCAATGCAACAACATGCAAACACATATTCATCATATATACAACTTATTAACACATTTTTAGTGCAATAACACATTTTTAGTGCAATAAACAACATGCAATCATCTACCATCAAGATCACCAATTTTTCCAAAGACACTATCAATAACAACACTTTCAACAACATCCTCATTTCATGATTTCAAACAACTCAACCATCAAAATAATGAATTCAATAGAAAACATGTAATACAACTTAAGCAAATCATTAACCACAAACTTCCCTTTCCTCGAATTGCTCCAAAAACAAGAAGAGGAGGAGAAGATGGAAGAAGAGCCTGGAAACTTTGCATGACTCTAAACTCTAGATTCTCAGTTTTAGAAGCTTCGAATAACCTCTCTACTGATTCAGATTAGCTAGGAGAAGAGTTTGGAAGTAACAGGGGGAATTGAAGGAAGGAAAAACTTCTCTAAGACCTTTTCTCTAGCTTTTCTCTAGTTTTTCTTAAAATAGAAACTTATGAGGTTCATGTCTTAAGAAAAAACTTATATGCCCTTTGTTGAAACCATGGAAATAAAAAAAATATATATTATTTATCAATGAAATTACATCAAGATGAACATCAACAAAAGATAAAATAAAATAACAATGATTAAAATAAAATAAGAGGAAGGTTTAGAGAAGTTTGAGTTGAAACACGTTAAGCTCTATCCTTAGAGAGAAAAAGTCACACTACACTAGTAGATTAATTTATAATGCACTCCTCTCCAATATACAACAATCCATCAAATCAATCGTGTGCAGCAAAGGTTCTCAAAGAACATTGCTCCAAAACACAAAATACTTTTATAATAATAAAAAATTATATCACCTTTATTTGGTGTTTGTTCTACTACATCAAAACAAAGTTCATCAAATTATAATCAATTCATATCATTGACATCTAAAGTAATAATTCATATTTTCAGGATAAATATTTTTTTATAAAAAAGAATTCTAATTTGGAATCAGGTTTTCTATCTAAGATTGTTGGAATCATGGAAATAGAAAATAAAACATTTATTTAAGTTTAAAGTTATAATAAAATTTTCCAACAATTCAACAATTATAATAAACATGTTTCAGTATCAAAAGAAAAAAAGGAGTAATTTTAAATTCAGAAATTTATTTATCAAATTATTTTATATGGTAACCAAAAAAATTTATTTTAATATAATAGTAGTCTTTCTATTTCTAAAACTTGAAAGAACTTTAACACAGATGTAATCTTTATACCTTTAAACATTATGTTTGCATTTTTTTAATCATGAAAGTTTAAATTTTATTTTTGGTTGATTATGTGATGTTGAA